AAAAAAAAAAAAAAAAAAAAAACAGCCACTTTGTTTGAAAATTGTAAAATTTATAGCCGCCACATTTTCGATATTTACCGCTCCTTAAAAGACTAATTTGTCTTTTATTCATTTTTTTAAAAAAGAAGAGATGTCCCTCTTTAGAACTATTTACCGGCCAAATCGAGCCTCGAAAAATTTCGAAAACACCTCTAAATAATTCCGGCGAAAAAATGTTTTCCAACAAGACCGGTCATGCGGCGGCCGACCGGTCAAACCAGCCAAAAATATTTTTTTTTGGGTCGGCCGTAGCCGTGCCGGCCTTCTTTTTGCCGGTTGGCCGGCCCATGCACGGCCGATTTTGCTGGTTGGCCGCACCATGCACGGTCGGTTTTGCCGGTTGGCCGCACCATGCACGGCCGGTTTTGTCGGCCGGCCGACTATTATTTTTTTTAATCAAATTTCTTAATTATATACATTATATTAGAATTTAGATTTATGGTTATAAATTAGAATTTAATATCTCATAGTTAGAATTTAGAAATTGTTAAAGTATAAATTATAACTAATTATTTTATAGAATTCTATTATTATTATGTTAGAACTCATAAATTATTATGTTATATAACATAATACTAATTATATCTAATAAAATACTAATGAGTGTTGCTATTAAAAATTGTATTTCCCTTTTTTTTTTTTTCTTAAAGCCGCTCCTTTTCAACTCGGTAATAAATTTTAAAATACAAAATAATATTTTGACTTAAATTTGAAATTCATAAATACCAATTGAACGAAAAAAATCGGATTCTGTTAGAGCAATTCATTGAGACCAATTAATTAAGTATGATTTGACCGAATTTTATGACAAGAGATTGTTTGACACTTTTCTCAGAGTTATAATTGATTCGTTTGAATATTATAGTAGGAAAAGCGTTCTAACAAAATAATAATAAATTATAATTTATAATAGTAATAATCTATACCATAATAACTTCTAACTTCTAACATAGTAGTACTAAATATTATTTCATAAGGCTATCAATTCTAAATCATACCATAATAATATCCAACTTCTAACATAATAGTAATAAATTATAATTTATAACATAATCAGTTTTAATCTATAATACAATAATTTCTAACCTCTAACGTATTATTAATAAATTCTAATTTATAAGATAATCAATTCTAATATATAACATAATAATTTGTACTAATACAATATTTTTTCAAACTAGTATCTAATTTATAATAATATAACTTATACTAATTATACTAATATAAACACAGCTGAATATCACAATATATCAATAGCATAATGAATGTCATCAATCACAAACATAATATACCATAACAATTTCCAACTTCTAACACAATAGTAATAAATTCTAATTTCTAACATAATTAATTCTAATCTATAATACAATAATTTCTAACCTCTAACAAAATAGCAATAAATTCTAACTCATAAGACAATAAATTCTAATCTATAATACAATAATTTCTAACCTCTAACATATTAGTAATAAATTCTAATTTATAAGATAATCAATTCTAATATATAACATAATAATTTATACTAATATATTTTTTTCAAACAAGTATTATTTCTAATTTATAATAAATAACTTATACTAGTTATACTAATATCATTTTTTTAATTGTATATGTTGTTAGTTCATTTTATCCTCAACAAGTGCATAACAAACATAACCCGAAATTAACGTATAAACACGACCGAATATCATAATATATCAATAACATAATGAATATCATCAATCACAAACATAATATACCCTAAACCCTAAACACTAAACCTCTACACCCTAAACCCTAAACCCTAAACCCTATACATTATTTTCGAGTTATGTTTGTTATGCACTTGTTGATGATAAAATGAACTAACAACATATACAGTTAAAAAAATGATATTAGTATAATTAGTATAAGTTATATTATTATAAATCAGAAATGATACTTGTTTGAAATAAATATATTATTATAAATTATTATGTTATATATTAGAATTGATTATCTTAGAATTTATTACTAATATGTTAGAAGTTAGAAATTATTGTATTATAGATTAGAATTTATTGTCTTATGAATTAGAATTTATTGCTATTTTGTTAGAGGTTAGAAATTATTGTATTATAGATTAAAACTGATTATGTTATAAATTATAATTTATTACTATTATGCTAGAAGTTGGATATTATTATGATATAGTTTAGAATTGATAGTCTTATGAAATAATATTTAGTACTACTATGTTAGAAATTAGAAATTATTATGGTATAGATTATTACTATTATAAATTAGAATTTATTACTATTTTGTTAGAATGCTTTTCCTACTATAATATTCACACGAATCATATAACTCTGAGAAAAGTGTCAAACAATCTCTTTTCATAAAATTCGGTCAAATCATATTGAATTAATCGGTCTCAATGAATTATTCTAACAAAATCTGATATTTTTCATTCAATTTGTTATTTAAATTGGTATTTATGAATTTCAAATTTAAGTCAAAATATTATTTTGTATTTTAAAATTTATTACCGAGTTGAAAAGGAGCGAATTTAAGAAAAAGAGAACTACAATTTTTAATAGCATCGCTCATTAGTATTTTATTAGAGATAATTAGTATTATGTTATATAACATAATAATTAATGAGTTCTAATATAATAATAATAATAAAATTCTATAAGATAATTAGTTACAATTTATAATTTAACAAATTTAAATTCTAACTATGAGATATTAAAATTCTAATTTATAACATAAATCTAAATTGTAATATAATGTATATAATTAAAAATTTGATTAAAAAAAATAAAAAATTGGCCGGCCGGCCGGCAAAACTGGCCGTGCATGGGCCGGCCAACCGGCAAAACCAGCCGTGCATGGACCGGCCAACCGGCAAAACCGGCCGTGCATGGGCCGCCAACCGGCAAAAAGAAGGCCGGCACGGCTACGGCCGGCATTCAAGGCCGGCCAGCCAAAAAAAATAAATAAATATTTTTATATTAAAAAGGGTAAAATTATCTTTTTGAGGGCGTTATTTAGTAAAAAGGGGACGGTATTTAACAACACCCAATTTATAAGGCATATTTCACATTTATTGGATGAACATCGAATAATTTATTAACTAATTATGAACTTCATGATTGAAATAGGTGTTACACATATACATTGATAAACATAATAGGTTCTAACAATTAAATTATATTTTCTTCCCCATTTTCTAATATAATTTCACCTTCACCCTAATATTTTTTGTTCAAAAAGCTAATTGTCAAAGAATTAACACTATACTTGATAAATCTAGTTGGTAACCTAAGTGAATGCTTATAAGTGAATTTCAATTTTATAGTTGATAGTTTGTGGCGACGACTGAAAAACTAGCTAAAATGATAAAAAAAACTGTTCGCTAAAATTAACTAATAAATAAATTAAAAAAAATAAAAAATTAAACGAATTTATTTGAAACATTACTCAAAGAAACTTATGAGTAAATTCAAGTTTTCTAAAGCTCGCTGAACTTATTTAAATACAAAAATTTAAAACTTGACCAAACAAACAATAAACTAGCTTACAACTAAACAATGCTTACCTGAGGCACATGAAGTGCAAAATCGTTATACATATTGTGATTGGAGTTTCCTAATCACAACTCAAATGAACGCAACCTCAATTTTATTCAATATTATTAATCTAATTAAAAAATTTTAATCAATTATTATTACACATCACATCAATTTTAATTCAATATTTATTCATTCACATTATTTTAACTACACGTCACTTTCAATCACTACTCACATACTTTTACATCAACACAATATTAATATAAAATAAAATCCACTCAGACCTACGCCACCAAATTTTTTAAAACTAACTATGAGGAAAATGTTATGATCTCGTTACAGTATCATCCTGTCGGGTGTTTTAACCAATAAATCATCTATCTTATACAAACGATTAAAATACCCGACGCGATGATACGTAGTATTTCCCCTAACTATGACTAATAAAAAAATCAATCAAACCTAAAATATCTAATCAAAACCTTGCAGAACAGAGACTGGTCAAATTTTAAATTAAAGATTATCCATACATACATTAGCACACAACGCGTTTTTCCTGCCATTATTACAGTCAAACTTCTCCCCACATTTTCAATTTTGAAAAAAAACAAACCAACCAGACAAACAAACAAAAACCAAAATTTACACAAAACAATCGCCATTTTTTGTTGAAGTCGAAAACAAAGTCCAATCTTTTGACTCCCCAACACCGCCATCAAGAAGAAACCCATCAGGAAACCCCAAATCTTCCATCTTTTTTACAGAGCTATGAACAAGAGACCTTGAATTTTTGTTTCTTCTCTTCCGGTAATTTTAATGGCGGTTTCAGAGGATGCCTTAATCGCCACTCTCTGCAACTCCGTCCAAGCCCTGGGCCGCGGCTTTGACGTCACCTCTGACATCAGGCTGCTGTACTGTAAGGGCGCCCCAGGGTTCCGTTTGGTGCGTGTCGACGAAGAGCGGACGAGGAATCTTGAAATTGCCGAATCTTGTTCGATCCCAAATGTGCCCGTTGACATTGGGTGCTCTAAGGGGCAGAGTTTTAGTGAGACGACCCCTGTTTGGAGTTTTCATGAGGCAAGCTTTGATTTTTATTTTCCTTGGTTGAGCTTTCATCTCCATAGAACGGCTAAGTTTTACGTTGGCTCGTCAAGCCTATCACAACCCTCCTCCTTTACCGGGACTTGGACCTGCTATGTTGAGCTTTATTTCTTGATTTTTTTTCTTTTAATGTTGGTGCTACTGTTTTATCTGTTTGGTGATTTTGGTTTCTTGATGATGATTGGATGGTGGAACTTCTTTTTTATAACCATTACTTCTAAAATAAGCATTTTATTTTATTTAATTTTTTAATTTGTTATATTTTAAGGGGCTAGGAATGTTGGGTTTTCAATGTGATGCCATATATAATGGTAAAAATTGGATCTTGATTCCAAATGGTTGATTAGAAAATCCCCCTTGTGCTTGAGATGGGAATATGGTTATGTTTTTTTGGTGAAACATATGACGAGTACTGTATCTTGTTTATTAGTGGGGACATAGATATTTTCCCCTTGCTATGATCTTTCTCCAGTTTGTTTGCTTTTACTTGCCTTTGCTTTTGATGTGGGTTTTAGCTTCATGATAATCCACGAAGTCGAATATTGGATTTCGATAGATGTTTGCGAGATTTAGAGCACTAGACACCAAGATAGATTGTAGAATTTGTAGAATGTAAGAACTTTTGCCCGATTCGTTCTTGATATAGTAATTGTTCGGGAGTTCATTATAATCTAGAGGTTCTAAATGGTGTCGTTAGAAATTATTCACATAGTACAAGAATTAGTCCCTATCATGAGAAAGGTGGCATTTTGCTGAAGTTTGAATTTTACGATTGCAAGACAATTGGTAATCAGACATTTGTCGTCGACATTTGTAAACTATTTGATTGCCTTTATTTTTAAGTTATAGCATTATAGTCTCCATCATGGATTTGAATATTAGGCCTCCAATTTTTTTTGTTGGTTCATGAACGACTCGAGATGTTGTGGTTCTAAACGTGATAGTAGTGCCCTTTGCCATACTATATAATAAAAAAAAAATTGGCTACTATTATTTTTTTCTTTGTTTTTCCTTTTAATTTGATATTGTACATCACCTCGCAATCTGCTTCCGTGATTTTCTACTATTTTTGTCTTTGTTTGAAATATTCTAAAAACAGTCTAAATAAAGATGTGAATTTTGGGATACTGGCTCTTGAATACAGATGGCAAAATACTTCAACGAGAAGTCGAATTTACCTGGCCAAATACCACTCGGGAGCTTTAATGCTATGTTTAATTTCAGTGGCTGTTGGCAAATCGATGCCGCCTCTACAAAATCACTTGCGATGGTGGGATATGTAATCCCATTGTTTACCGTTAAGCTTCTTAATTCAAATTTAATCTTGCGTGATGAAATCAAACGTGCAGTTCCTTACTCTTGGGATCCTTCATCTCTAGCAAGGTATCATCGTATTTATCAAAGTCCTTTCATATGAACTGAAGATAATACTTTGAAAGAAGTTTTTCAAACAAATTATGTATTTTTTCTCTTTCAGCTTTATCGAAAACTATGGGACCCACATTGTTACCTCGGCAACTATAGGTGGTAGGGACGTTGTCTATGTTAGACAGCACCAATCTTCGCCTTTATCAGCTTCAGATATCGAAAACTATGTAAAAGACATTGGAGATCAGAGGTTTTCCGAATCTAAGGTCAACACAAGTGCAGGCGCTTTAAAGTATAAGGATAAGGTTAGTAAAGTAGGATTCTTTACATTATATTATTATTACAATCTTCGATGTTACTACAAAAATTCGCTCTTGTTTTACTAATGTTATGCTCATTCTCGGATAACTTGGGTTTGAATATTAACCGAAACGATATAGGCTTCCTTAAGAGTATTACAAACAGTCCTTAAAGGTTATTTCATTCAGAACACTCATCATGGAATTTAAATGCGAATATATATATATATATATATATATATATATCAAGTTGATGCTTGTACTTTTGACTTTTGTAATAAGCTAACCTTTCCAGATCAACTATGTTCTGAATGGTGACTTTTGGTTTTTTAAGTAAATTTGAGTTCATTTTCGTACAGGATGTTACTGTGATTTTCAGAAGGAGAGGAGGAGATGATCTCGAGCAGAGCTATGTAAAGTGGGCCCCGAGTGTAGAAAAAGCACCCGATTTGATCGACATGACGTTTACGCCTATTGTATCTTTGCTTGAAGGAGTGGCCGGAATAAAGCATTTGGCCCGTGCTATTGACTTATATTTGGAGTGTAAGAGAGTTTAACGGTTTGCTTTTCTTTGATAATATTTCAGTAGAAAATTTTAACTCGAACTGCAAGTCATTTCCATGTATTCAGACAAGCCTCCTATCGAGGATCTGCAGTACTTTTTGGATTTCCAAATTTCTCGCGTTTGGGCCCCGGAACACAACTTGCAAAGGAAAGAGCCTGTTTGCCAGTCTCTTCAGTTCAGCTTAATGGGCCCTAAGCTTTATATAAGCCCAGATCAGGTGATTCTTGATATTGATTCTTGCTATTGTTTAGTGCTTTTCCAATCTTCTTCAGAAACAAATTTCTTCAGGATAAATTTAAAACCCACCCCTGAATTTAATCACAGAAAAAACCAAAAGCTCATTAAAAAAATTGCCGAAAATGAAAAAGGTTTTCGAGGTTTTTTTGATTTTGTGTCACCCTTCACCTTAAATTCTGTAAATCATTTACACCCTTAAACCAACACATATCAGATACATCTTAGGCTGTGTTTGGCAATCATATAAGCTTAGCTTATAGCTTATTTGATTAACTTATATGCTTTCTTGTATTTAAAAAAAGTTTGGTTTGGTAGCACGAGCTTGTTTAAGAAGTTCTGAGCTTATCTTATAAACTTCCTTGAGTAGCTTTTCAAATAAGTTAATTGAAATTTTGATTTCAGTTAATTTTAACAAACTTTTTTATCATATAAGCTAGATTTTCAGCCATAAGTAATAAGCTATATCAGCTATAAGCTCGAAATTCATTTAAAAAGCTGTAAGCTAGCTCATCAGCTATATTTACTAAACATAGCCTAAAGTATTTTCTGATTCTTTCAACTTTCCGAAAACTAAAACCACAGGTGACAGTCGGGCGTAAGCCAGTGACTGGACTCAAGCTCAGCCTAGAAGGCCCGAAACAGAATCGACTGGCCATCAACCTGCAGCACCTGATCTCTCTCCCCAAGAACCTCGGGCCCCACTGGGAGGCCCACGTGGCGATAGGCCCCCCAAGGTGGCAAGGGCCTGAAGAGCAAGACAGTCGTTGGTTCGAGCCCATAAAGTGGAAGAACTTCTCCCATGTGAGCACGGCCCCGATCGAGTTCACCGAAACCCACATTGGCGACCTGTCGGGGGCCCACATTGTCACGGGGGCCCAACTCGGGGTATGGGACTTTGGGGCCCGAAGTGTTTTGCACCTCAAGCTTTTATTCTCTAAGGTGCCCGGGTGCACCATAAGGCGGTCTGTATGGGATCACAGCCCGTCAGCGTCAGCCGGGGCCTCGTCGTCAGGCGAGGGGTCGGGGGGGCAGATTGGGAAATTGGCGAAAATTGTGGACGTGTCGGAAATGTTGAAAGGGCCCCAGGACTTGCC